TCTCCTTGGGCATGCTCTTTTGGTTCTGAGATTCAGCCAAAAGGGGTAAAAAGGGTGCAGTGCAATGCATGTTTACACAGAGAAATTGTCCTACAATTCCCAGCCCCTCAGCCAGGGAACGGTGCGAGCTGTAGGACTTTTTCTGTCTAAAAACGCACAAGAATTTATTGCTTATTTACAGTATCTGCATACCAATCCAAACCCAGGTGCTGAACAGAAAAAGATGGAATCCGATAGAAGAATAAATACAGTATACGAAAAACAAAGCAACATTAAAACTGGGACTGGTCAACAAGGAAAGTGAATGCTGGTGCCCAGCTGAGCGCCTAAGGCTGGGAATTCCCTAGAAAAGGCTCTTCTCCCGAAGACATTAAGCTGGTAAAAGAGAAAGTACTCCTTTAAGTATCCCGATCTCAAGCTGTTCAGGGCTTTGTACTCTGGTACCGGCAACCAGGACCTACCCTGTGATGTTTTGTCAGCAAAGCGGCAGCTTCAACAAGGACTATGCCCTTAAGGCAGCTTCCCAGACCACCGTCGAAACCAAAAGATGCTGAGCCCCAGCAAGCCAAACTCCAAGGATTACGGGAAAGAAACTATGGAAGTTCAACTCGCAGCAGTGGGAACCGCTGGTGCCGCGAGGAGGAGGAAGGGAGGAAGGCGACCTGGAGGAGAGAATGACTGAAAGGCAATTCAGGGAAGGGAAGGGCCACTCTTCCAAAGTCGAGCCATTGCAGCCGCGTGAAATGAGGGACAAGGCTGAAAGAGGTCTTGGACACATGCTTGCGTTCTGACCCACTAAGCCCACAAAGAGAGGCCCACGAAGGGAGCAACTGTTCCGAAGAAAACACAGCGAATGGTTTTGGATGGCGTCCGCCCCGCCGGTCCCTGGGAGCTTCCAGACCAATGATTCCCACTGCTGATCAACCCTGCTCACGGCTAACCCCGAGCCACGAGGGCAGTGGACTTCCCGCGGAGTTGTGCGGGGAGAGGAGTACCGCGCATTTTCTGCATGAGCGCCACTGCCTTTAAGTGTGGCGGTTCCGACGCGGATGGCCAAGTATCCGGCGGCGGAATGGCTCCCGGCTCAGCTCGCTTTTGCAGTGGGAGCAATGGTTTGCTCCCACTGCTCCCTTCGAAGCAGTGCTGAAAACACATCCACGGCTCTTTTGGAAGTTACAGTGGTGAAACCGCACTCCACAGCATTGTCTGGCTCTGTGTAACCCCAACACGCTTCCTTGACGTTTTTCTTATAACGGTGAGCTTCTGGCTCACCTGGGTCCCGGATGGGGCCCGCTGGGGTCCCTTGGAAGGCCCCACCCCTTTCAGAGGCCACGCCCCTTTCCTAAATAGCCCCTCCCAGGTCCTATTTGTCCCTGCTCAAGAAGGCTGAAATGCATCTCTGCTCCTGGCAGGAAGAGCGCTAAGCTGTGAGCGGCCGGCACATGTGGTCTCTGGGCCGCACCCCTTGCCTGCAGCCCCCACTGCCGCTGGATGCGGCCCCAAGAGGCCCAACACCCCTGTCCCAACCCCATTAAAGCCATCATGAAGACGGGCTCTTTCCACTTGGCCCACTTAGCCACCTTGCAAGCATGTAGAAAAGGGCCTTTTCCCCATGACTTTTTGTCTATATATTTCATCGTAAGGGTAGCTGACATTTCAGTTATCTTCATTTTTTTAAATAGTCCCAGAAGCTTGAGGGTGTTCAAGGACAGGCTGGACATGAACATGGTGGGCATGTTGTGAGCAGAACCAGCTGGAGCCAGGGGGTCAGACTAGATGGCCCGGGAGGCCCCTTCTGACTCCCTCTAAGTTTCTAGGTCTATCTCGACTCCCAGTGTTGATTTGAGCAGGTATTTTATGTTCACCCTGGAATTTGGGAGTGGGAGTTGGAGTACAGATATTTCACAGACATGAGATCAGAACAGGCGGCTTGGTCTCCTTGTGAGCATTCCCCGGTGCTCTCTTTGGAAGGCAAGGGAAAGCGAATGAAACGGGGAGGACGCTCAGCTCACAGAATCCCCCAAATGCAGCTTCCAAGACACTAACGCTCATTCCGCCAGAGGAAGTTGAAGAACCCCAGCAAATGAAAAGGGCCACTGGGATACCAGGGCAACACGTGTGCGAGGATTTCGGCCTGTTTTCCTCGTGGTAGTCAAAGGCTGAGTCTCTGGTTGGCCAGCGTGTTTGATGCTACGCAGAGAAGTCCCCGATACCCAATTTGAGGCAGAAGGGTTCTGCGAGCAAGCGTCCCCATTAGCACAACAAAGACAAGACGGCCCGTCTCAAACCCCTCATTATTTTTCCACTTGTTCCTTGCTCTGCACAATGCAAGTCCACCTGCCCTTCAAGAGGCAGGATTTCCTCCAGGGGGAGGCAGCTGAGAACACCACCCCCTTCAGAAAGGAAAATCCCTCCCCTCGAAGCCACAAAGCTCCGTCCCGCCCTCAACACGCCATCCCTGCAGAGACGTCATGCAGCCTCTCCGGCAGAGCTGAGCGTGAGCCTCACCCCAACGGGAGCAATTAGAGGGGGCTTCGGGGGGGAGCGGGGGTCCCGCAGGAAGAGGTGGGTGTTGACAGGCTGGCAATCATGGCCTTCAGTTGCTGTTACCTTGTGTGTGCTGTTGTGGGACATGGCATGATGGAACTTCAAGTTGTAAGCCGCCCCGAGGCTTCGGCGAATGGGGCGGCATAAAAATGTTTTAATAAATAAATAAATAAACAAACAAACTTCTACAAATACCCAATTCAATAGGATTGGTCTGAGGTTGCCCTTGTCCTGCACAAACTGAAAGTGCTGTAATTATGATGGAGGGTGTGTGAGTGTGTGTGAGAGAGAGAGAGCGAGAGAGGGAGGGAGGGAGGGAGGGAGGGAGAAGAGGAGACATTCCACCTTTGGATGCATAGCCAGAAGCATGGCTTCCAGATTTAAGGAGGTGCTGATTCTGCTCTGCTCGACTCTGGTGCACCCACAGCTGGAGTCCTTCATCCCGTTCTGGGCTCCACATTATAGGAGAGACAGAGCTAGGCTGGAGTCAGTTCAGCGCAGGGGCACAAGTTGGGAGAGATGCATAGGGGGAGAGGTGGAGGGAACTGGGTCTTTTCAGCCTGGAGAAGAGGAGATTCTAAGAGGATGTTTGAGCGAAGGTATGTGAGGGGCTGTCATGTGGAGGAGGGCCGTGAGCTGTTCTCCCCTGCGGTGGAGGGCAGGATGCGTTCCAGTGGGGCAAAGCTCAAGGGACCAGGCTACAGGCTGGATGCCGGGAAGTCCTTCCTGACAGTGAGGATCCCTAGGATACGGGATGGGCTTCCAAAGGAGGTGGTTGAGGCCCCATCAATGAGGACATTGAGGAAAGATTGGACACCCACATGTTGGGGATTGCATGAGCTGAGATGACCCAGGAGGTCCCTCCTGACTCACTTTTCCATGTTTCCATGTTTCCATACTTCCCCCAGCTTGGTGCCCTCCAGATATTTCAATCCCCATCATAGAATCACAGAATAGCGGAGCCGGAAGGGGCCATGAAGGCCATCGGGTCCCACCCTCTGCTGGTGCAGGACACCAGTTTACACCATCCCACCCAAATGGCTGTCCAGTTTCTTCTTGAATGCCTCCAGTGTGGAAGCACCCACCACCCCTCCAGGCAGCTGGTCCCACTGCCGTATTCCTCTGACAGCGAGGAAGCTTTTCCTGATGTCCAGCCTGAATCTGGGTTGCCGCAACTTGAGCTGATTACTCCGTGTCCAGCACTCCGGCATCAGCAAGAAGAGATCTTGAATCAGCCACAGTGGCTTGGGCTGACAGGGACTATCAATGCCTTCAGCATTTTCCCCCATCCCTGCTGTAGCCCAAAATATTTGGAGGCCCCCAGCTGGAGAAGAGCAATGCAGTCTATTCCTCAGCATCATTTCTACATGGCTCAGCTCAGAGCCATCACCTCCTGCTGCTCCGGGCCAGATCAGGAAGATGGGAAGTCCCCAGCGCGGCTACAATTTCCACGCTCTCAGTGCCACGAGAATGTTCAGTCGTGCCATTCGGTTATGCTAATGCTGCTGGATCACCAAGACAACTATCAGGGAGATGAAAGGTTTCCAGGCCCAGAGCTGTTCACTCACTAGAAGGCAGCACCAACATCTAGGATTTCCTTGAAGGTGGGCAATAAATGGTGTGGGTGGAAGGACTGGCTGCACCGAGCCAAGCACAATTATACGAGGTGTGTCCAGAAGTCATGAGAACGCAGTCCCTACGCTCGAGAAGGGCTCTGTGAAGGGAGAAGCCAGCCAAGGCCACTTGGGATGGGGCGCCAGGTATACGTGAGAACATTGATCGGTTGCGTTCCAGCCCTGCCAGAGTCGAGACATTCTCTTTTGTGACGCCCTGTTCGAGTGCCTCGCGTTAGGAAAAACGCAAGTGCGTTTGGAACAGCGGGACGTGATAAAATTGGGTGAAATTGGGTAAAAGTGCATCAGAAACCGTGGAAATGGTGAGCAAAGCTTACGGAGAAGCCGTGCTATCATTTGCACAAGTGCACTGATGGCACCAGTTGAGATCGGCTCAACTTGGATCCCTCATCACGACAACGCACCGAGTCACGGTGCTTTGGCTGCCGGAGTTTTTGGCTGAGAAACACCTCACGGGGCTTCCCCATCCACCCGACAGCCCCAGCTGGGCTCTTTGCAGCTTTTTCGTCCTCCCAAAGATGAAGAATGGTATGAAAGGACACCATTTTGGTTGTGTGATTAAGTCCAAAGAGCCACTATGCAGGCTCTGAACGCCATCCCACCGGAAGACTTCCAGGGATGCTACGAAGAACGGAAAAATCGCTGGGAGCATTGTGCGCACTCACAAGGTGCACCCTTTGAAGGAGACAATGTTCAATTGTAACATTTGCCAATAAAAGAATTTTTAAAATATCACTCTCATTACGTTCTGGACACGCCTCGTATGCCGGAGTCCCTTACGCAGGGAACCGCAAGCAACGCATCGCGCCACCGTCTTACCCGGCTCGGGAGATCGTCCTGCAGAAGCGTCCGTTGCAACGCGCCCGGCGCAACTTCCTCCAAGTGGAGCACGTGGCAGAGCTCGGTCAGTTCCTCCCGGCCGAGAGAGCCGGTGCCGGTGCCATCGAAGCTGTCGAAAAGCTCTTTGAGGTGGGCTTCATACTGGTCCTGCTCAGCGCCATCCATCCCATAGCCCACTGCACTCCAATGCTGGGGAGGGAGAGAAGAAACCCCAAGGATGAATCATCTGCAGGGATGCCAAAGAGGCAGCTGCTGCGCTTCTCGGCCACAGCAAAAGCAACCGGGGTTAGGCATGACGCCAAACCTTGGTTACACGGACTGTGAATGGAACTCTCAACTCCCCTTCGGGTTCCAGACATGCTGGCCAACCAGGGATGCCCCGTTGCCCAGGCGTGGAGAGACCCAGGATGCGATCCCAAACAGCGGCCCTGCGAGGTGACCACCTAGGATCACAAGGTCAGACCAAAAGGTTTGTCCAAACTGAGATCTGTAAACCAGCTTCAAACTGCCCTTGCTTGGAAGCCACCTGCAAACCACGCTTAGTCTTTGCAAGCCACAGTTTTACTTTGGATCAGGACCAGTTTCCTGTGGCAGTTTAAAGATTTAACTCATGTACTGGAGCATAAGTGCCATTGAGCAGAGATCGCCTTGTCAGACGTCTGAAGCACAGGAAGGTGAATAGTCAACCTATTTGTATTAATTTCATTTCTATACCATCCTGCAGCTGAAGTGCTCAGGTTTCCCAAATTTCCCAAAGTGTTGTTCAGTTTTGGGTATTCAGTGGTAATGAAATGTAATGACTTATCATCATGGTAATTGAATGGAAGAACGCAGAACTTAGAAACCTAGAAACAGAGTGAGTCAGAACGGGTCTCCTGGGCCATATAGTCTGACCCTCGGCTCCAGCTGGCTTAGCTCATGTCATGCCCACCGTGTGCATGTCCAGCCTGTCCTTGAACGCCCTCACCGATGGGGCCTCCACCACCTCCTGTGAAGGCCCATTCCATGACCTAGGGGTCCTAACTGTCAGGAAGTGCTTCCCGGCATCCAACTTCCTGCCAGAGGGTTTCTGGCAGGAATATTTCTAGTCTCCCCAGTGCCTGGGATCCAATCCAGGGCATTCAGCATACAAAGCACCTGCCCTGCCCTGCAGCCAAGGCCCCTTTACAATGCAAGAGGGCAGAGGTGCTGTTCGTCCCATTTCGATGTAGGTCCCAAACCTGCGCGAACCAGAAAGAGCATGACTTACACCTGCACTGCTCGCAGGCTCTGTTGAATTAGACGTTTAAGCCCAGACAAAAGCGTGTTCTCTGGTTAACGGTCAAAGCTACAGTGCTCCTTAGAGCTGGATCCCTGATCTTTTTGGGTTGGTGGGCACACCTGACATTTTGACAGAATGTCGTTGGCACTCTCACAAGATGGCTGCTAAGGGGACTGGGGCTTCCGCTTTATGAAACGATGGCTGTGGTGGGCACGGCTAGACATAAAACACTGGTTTCCCTTACAGCAAACTGGTGCAACTAGCCGAAAAGGAACTCGGCCAAGAGTGTCAGTACAAGGCACAGACGGGGGCCGGAATTCCAAAACACAAAACCACTCTTTGGATCCCAACTAGAAATGCCTCCACACCAGAGAACCTGGACTTGTGGCCACCCGGAAAGGCACCCTAGTTCCATCCTCTTGACGCTTACATGTAAATTATTGGAAAAGAGCTTTCCTTAAATGGTTTGTCTCTCTAGTCAACCAGCATCGTGTTTGTTGGAGGGGAATAAAGGGTGGCAAACTTTTGTTATTAAATCAGGCATTTACACCCGAAGAGGAACTGTTCCTTAATTGAAGAATTTTTTTTGAAAAGCAAATGTTCATTGAACTTTTGCAATATGTATTCGCTTTGTTAATGGCTGGGCAATTCCTTTCATGGTTCTTCAGCAGGTAGTCGGCCCTTTTCGCCATTGCTTGAAAAGGGCAATGTGTGATTCCTATGACACCTTAACCTCGATTCCCCCACCCAGCTTCATTTCCCCTTCCAGCCACAGCAGAAATTGGCCCAGTATTTTTAAATATTTGCAGATGGATAGTAAAGCAAACACATCACCAAGAGACTGTCTGTTCCAATGTTCAGCAGCAGTTCCAGTTTTAATTGCCTCAGAGCCAACACTGCTTCCTCTATCACCAAACTTATCTAAATTGCAGAAAAGCTGACCTCCTCTTAAGAGGTCAATTCTATCACACGGTTCGGCTCCAGAAAAAAATTATCTTCCCTGCCAGCAGCAAAAACTTAAATGTCTCTGCAAAGAAATTAAAAAAAAAACCCAACTTGCTTGCTTCTGCATCAAAAGCAGACTCCAGGACAGCAGATAAGAAAAGGCTCGTGAGATATCTCGTTTCCTTACCCCATTTTCCTTTATCCCCATTATTCTCTCCTACTAAGCTCCTACACTACCATCCACCCACTTTGTAAATCTCTATAAACTACCTGCTAAAATAATAATGCTGAGATGTTCAGCATATCACATTTCGCTTGATATTCCAAAGGGCGCGATCTTCCAATATGCTTGTGAGCATGGCACGAGCATATAAGCCATGTATCACGCCATTAACCGCACAGCCAGGGTGGCGTAGTGGTTACGAGCGCAGGATCCAGGTTCGAGTCCCCGCTCTGCCATGGAGCCCCCTGGGTGACTCTGGGCCGGCTGCAGACGGACTCTCAGCCCAGTCTACCTCACAGGGCTGTTGTTGCGAGGCTAAGATTAAGAAGGGGAGAATTATGCAAGTGGACTCGAGTTCTTGGAAGGAAAAAAGAGGAAGAGAATAGAATAAATAAATGACCAAGGAAGCACGGCACAAGGTTAGGAGGGAAAGCTGATCTCTGGTGCGTAGAAACCCCACTCGACCAACGCAGCAGCCTGGGAAATGCAATTCCGATAACCGGGAACGCTTCTGCAAGAGAAACCCAGGACGAGAGCAGAGTCCGCCATCTGCGTCTGGTCCCACGAGCCAGGTGGCCCTGTGCATCCCTGCTTAGCTCTGCTCCCCCAGTGCCCTTCTGTCTGTGCTCTTCACCATGTCAGTTCTTCTTATTCTGCATTTGGGATCCAAGGGACCACGTGGCTGGTTGTGGCTCTGTTTCCCCTTCAAGCGATGGGCAGGAAAATGGCAGCCAAGGCACCCATGCAGAATCAGCAGGTCTATGCCCTGGTGCCACGATGCCCGCAGTCCCCTGCCAAAGGGAGATGAGACCCCTTCTCTATGAAATATTATATCTGCCTCGTACTATCTCTGCTCTGCCTTCATCTTTCTTCCCCTCCCTCTTGGAAGAAACACGCTGCTTATAATCTGACTTCTTCCTCTCTCAGCCCATGCAGGATTGGCACATGTGCCCAGGAAGGAGGGTCCTTTCTGTCTAAGCATTTAGCATTTCGCACTTTTCCCAATTTCTCCTTAGAGCTCACCAAAACTGGCTCATGCAATCTACCTTCCATTCCTGCAATGACCTGACGGCCTTTCCAGTGTTTCTGCTTCTCCCCTTTTGCCTCTTTCCCACATGTCTAATTCTCCCTGGTGCAAGTTGAGTGCTGCCATCGGAGGCACATGGTGACTCTTAGTTAAAGACCCAAGAACATGCACAGGAAGATCACATGTGCGGGATACATGCCAGCCATGTGCTGTGCCAGCCATGTGCTATGCCAGCGCCCCATGTCAAGCTCCGCACTTGTGGTGCACCTGGGAGGAGCCGCAATGCAACCCCAATATCTGGATACCGACAGCGGCTTTGCTACACGGTGGATTCAGTCATTCATCGAGCGTTAGTAAGGTTTGCTGAAGGCCAGCGACTGAAGCAAGAAGGCAGGGAAATAGCTCCCCCGAGTCTCACCAGCCCCCTGGGAAGCTGAGGTAATGCTTGGCGAAACGGCAGCAAGGAGAAAAACAACCTGACAGGAACAAACAGGTCAAAGCTAGCATCGTGGCTGGTGTTTGTACCAGGTCTTCCCATGAGCACCCCAGTGGTGGGGAAATTATTTGATATTTCTGTGTAATTCTTCTGGGGCCAACCTGTCAAGCAGGAGCCTAGATCAGAGGGGCCAATTTTAAAAAAATTAAAGCTGATAAGTCATTTTGACCTCACTTTCGCTGGATCAGCACGTCCACCGAACCCTTTCCAAAAGTCTGCCGAAAGCCATAACAGCGGCATCGGAACTGCCTGGCCCCAGAACCTCTTGCCCTCCCAGTGCTGTTGGACTCCAACTCCTATCAGGCCCTGCCAGCAAGGTGTGTCTTCAGGGGTGATGGGAGTTGTCCCACAAGAGCAGGAGCGCCTTAGCCCCTCTAGAGAGAGGTTTCCTGGACAAGTTCTTGCAAGAGGTACCAAAGCATGTCTTGGGGAAACATCACGCCATACACCCTGGGGGTAATCTACTCCTCTGTGCCCCTCTGGGGGGGGGGGAGGCACCATGCACCCACTTTCTGTGAATAGATGGATCACAGAGTTCACTAGTCAGGCCTCACCTGGAATACTGCTCCCAGTTCTGGGCTCCAAGATTTAAGAAAGAAGCAGGGAAATTAGAAAGGGTCCAGCGGAAGGCAATAAAAATGATCCGGGGTTTGGAAACGCTGCCCTATGAGGAAAGACTGAGAGAACGGGGCATGTTCAGCCTTGAGAAGAGAAGACTGAGGGGGGACATGATATCCCTCCATAAATACCTTGAAGGCTGTCACAAAGAGGAAGGCCAAGGTCTCTTCTTGCTGATGCCAGAGTGAAGGTCACGGAATAATCAAGTCAAGCTGCGACAACCCAGATTCAGGCTGGACAGCAGGAAAAGCTTCCTCACTGCCAGAGCAATACGGCAGTGGGACCAGCTGCCTGGAGAGGTGGTGGGCTCTCCCACACTGGAGGCATTCAAGGCGAAACTGGACAGCCACCTGAGTGGGATGGTGTGACTTGGTGTCCTGCAACAGCAGGGGCTGGACTCGATGGCCTTCATGGCCCCTTCCAGCTCTACTATTCTAGGATTCTATGAAGAGGGAGGACAGACGGACAGATGCACGGACGGATGCACGCAGGGGGTTCCCCTGATGCAGCGTGTTGGGTATCTGAGCTGGGTGCTGCTCCTGCATTGCCAAAAAGAGGAGACAGCACCCAAAGAGAGGACGTGATTCACACATATATGAAGGGAGGCTATAATCTAAAG